AAAAAAGGCAACTATGATCTTATAGACAACGATCTCTCATCCCTTGATTGGCAATCTCTATTCACTGGATGCAATACTGTTGAAGACCATTACAACATATTTTTACTTGAAGTCAAAAGAGTCATCAAACTATATTTACCAACAACAACTCCCAAAACAAAACAAAAACTGATTACCCATAACAATAAGGAAACTTCAATCCAAAAAGAGATCACTCTGGTGGAAAAACAAATCTGGTCACATTGCCAATTTCAAAAGCCGATACAAAAATTTATGCCACCAGATAAAGACTGAATGCACCAATTATCACATTAAACAAGAGGAAAACCTTCTATGCACCAATTCCACCCGGGCTTTTTACAATTTTGTAAACAAAAAACTAAAAGACTCAAGGTCCATCCCACCCCTGAAAGGACCTAATGGTAAAGACTGCAACGACGACATCATTAAAGCCAACATCTTTAACACATTCTTTGGCTCAGTATTTGTAAACAGCAATGGATCATGCCCAGTAATTCCTAGCTGAACCACAGACGACTACAATGATCTAATACATATCGATTTTACAGAAGACAATTTTGAAAAAGCACTATGCAATCTAAAACCTTCTCTATCTATTGGACCAGACAGAATATGCGCCTACTTCTCAAAAAAGCTATCCACTGCCATAGCCGAACCTCTAAGCATAATCTTCAAAAAATCTTTCAGGACCAGCTCCTTGCCTAACCTATGGTCATAAGCCACGGTCATCCCCATCTTCAAAAGGGAGACCCAGCCCAGTTGAAAATTACAGACCAATCTCCTTATGCTGCATCACCTGTAAAGTCATGGAATCAATTATTAACCAATCCATTATCCTCCACTTAGAGACAAACAACCTACTCTCTAATAAAAAATTTGGTTTCAGAAAAAACTATCCTGTAATCTGCAACTCTTACACTGCAAAAACATATGGACTACACAACTCGATCAGGGCAAAACAATAGACGCACTCTACATAGACTTCTGTAAAGCCTTTGATTCAGTGGTACATGACAAACTACTCCTAAAACTAAAATCTTATGGTATCTCTGGACAACTGCATAACTGGATAGAAGCATTCCTGGCAAACAGACAACAAATGGTCAAAATTGGGAGTGTCCTATCAAATTCTGTACCTGTCAATAGTGGTGTCCCCCAAGGAAGTGTTCTAGGACAAACTCTCTTCATACTCTACATAAATGACCTCTGTGATCATATTAAGAGCAACTGCATTCTTTTCGCTGATGATGTAAAGCTGTTCAATACCACAGACAATACTGCTACCCTACAAAAAGATCTTGACTATGTATCAGAATGGTCAAACAAATGGCAACTTCAAATCTCAACAAATAAATGCTCTATCTTACATATTGGCAAAAAAAATCAGAAAATAAAATACAGGCTGAATAGTCAAGACCTTGTTGATGATCCAAGCTCTGTAAAGGACCTTGGAATACTCATCTCTAATGATCTAAGTGCTAGAGCCTACTGTAACTACATAGCCAAAAAAGCATTAAGAGTTGTTAACCTAATCCTACGTAGCTTTTTCTCTGGTAATATCACACTACTAACTAGAGCATACAAAACATTTGCTAGACCAATACTCAAATACAGCTCATCAGTCTGGAACCCACATTACATATCTGATATTAACACAGTTGAGAAAGTCCAGAAATATTTCACAAGAAGACTTCTCCACTCCTCTACTCGTTGTAGAATACCTTATTCCACCAGACTTGAAATTCTAGACCTAGAAAACCTTGAATTACGCCGTCTTCTGTCTGATCTAAGTATGGTATATAAAATCATACACTGCAATGACTTACCTGTCAATGAATACTTCAGCTTCAACCATAACAACACAATAGATACAAACTCAAGGTTAACCGCACCAAACTTGATTGCAGGAAATACGACTTCAGCAACAGAGTGGTCAATGTCTGGAATACTCTACCTGACTCTGTAGTTTCTTCCCCAAACCCCAAAAACTTTAACCTTAGACTGTCTACTATTGACCTTACCCCTTTCCTAAGAGGTCTGTAGGGGGCGTGCATAAGCACACCAATGTGCCTACCGTCCCTGTCTTATTGTTTCTTTTATTTTTCTCATATGTACCCATTTCATGTATTCATAACTATGTATATACTTATACCTATTATCTTGTAAGCAATTGACAAATCAAATAAATAAATAAATTATTGTCATCCTTGTGCAGAATGAACCATCTCCACCATAGAAGGTGGGTGACACCAGAAAATGGGGCAGGCTTTGAGGATGTCTATAGAAGCATTGCTGTCTATAAATAGGCATTGCTCTTTTAAAAACAATATCTTATTTCCATAATAAATGAAAAGAAATAATCTTGGAGGTTAAATGAGGCACCAGGAATGAAAAGACAGGGAATCAAAGAAGCCTTGGAATTAAAAGAGAGATGTCATTTTTGAGATGTCATCCCTATTGTTGTATGTACACTGAGAGTTTATGCACCTGAGACAAATTCCTTCTGTGTCTAATCACACTTGACCAATAAAGAATTCTAATTCTAATAACCCTAATTCTTTTTGTTTTAGATCAGTTACAGTTTTGTTTCCCAGGATCTTAACAATAAATGCCAATTTCCTTTCTTCTACCCAATGCTCCCCTCCGAAGGAGTCCAGTACCTGGGGATGATCCAGCTGCTCCTCCATTTCAGGTGGACCTTGGTTGGTCTGATGGCTCCAGACAATGACCAAGGTCAGAAATTCATGAGGACGATGACCTCCATGCTGATAAGGAACGGCATTTGTCCAGTTTTATTGCAAACCTTTTCCACAACTGGCAAGAAAATCTTTAGGCTTTCCGAAGCGTATCACAGCTGGAGACAAGTGAACGTGTTTCTTTATTTTGCAGACTTGAACTCAATATATATTGTGATATTAATTATACGCAAAGCCCTGCAAAATTTTAAGGAACCTGCTAAAGGTCCTGCTGGCAACCATAATGGGAGGCTTTCACTTGTATTTGACGGAAATTGCTGCTCACATTAAAGTCACCCATAGCTTTTTTTCCTTCCTTATGAAAACAAAACAAACAGCAAACTATGACGTGACTCGCCACTTTTACTCTACAATGAAGCGCTTTTCAGAGAGATCCCGTATATGTTCCTACTCCTGGGATGCCTTTTCAGTGAAAATCTGGAGACGGTGCAGGGAAAGAGACGAACTGGAGGTTTTGCTCCAAGAGCAGATTGATCGTATCTTGTCAGTAGACAACTATTTCACTTACAACACAATCTGGGCTGTGGCACGGGCTTTACATGCAGCCCTTTTCTACAGGTCTAAGAGGACAAGGAGTAAAGATGGCAAGAAAATGGAAGCTCTAAGGCTGGAAATTTGGCAGGTATCTTGATTGGCTGGCAACATTGTGTTCCTTCCTAGCTTCCTAACAAATGATAGCTGTCCATTTACTCAGAGCCAAGCTGCACTAAAGGCCTCCAATAAAGGAACACAATGTTGCCAGCCAATCAAGACACAAAAAGAGCCACTAAACAGACAGAAGATATTAGAAACACCAATCAAGCAGAACACAGCAAACTCCAAGACCAATAAACACAGACCAAGACTCTCAACCAATCAGGATGAAGAAAAAACCATTCTGGCACAGCAATAGGCTGCCCCAAATTCAAATCTGAAACCACTGTAAAAGCCTGACTCACAGATGAACACTATACAGAAGCCTGATGATGGCAGATGAGATTCTGCCGAAACGTTTCTACAACTTTAAAAGCACAACTACAATGACGTGGGAAAATACCCGAACAAAGCTGAATACCATACATGTAAGTACCCGCGAAAACTTAAGAAAACAAATATATATATATATATATATATATATATATATAT